TTAAACGTATTTCCTTTGTATATAAAGAAAGTCGTGTTCTTTTATAACACGACGTTCAATAAAGTCAAACTCAAAAACACTTCAAACATTTTCATCCACGGCAGTGAACCTAAACCCAGATCACGCACTGAGCCGTCATGGCCGCCGTCTCCCGCCTCCTCTCCACTGATGAGCTTGTCCTTCTCCACGCCTCTCATCTTGTGCTCGTCTGTGGAGAAGCAGACACAGAGAGAAGACCCGTCCCCTTTATTATTATTATTATTAACACAGCAGGAGCGGCAGTGGTAGCGGGTTGATTCGGGACAATCCTCTGAGGTCAACAGTTCTCACAGTTCAGTTCTCCTCAAAGTAATTACATGCTGGAGTTCTGGCGTCTGGCTCTAAGGCCCGACCCGACAATGGCTGGCAAGCAGCAGAACACGAGCTGCCGGTCCGGTTTGGACTGAGTGTGGGATCTGTCCGATCCCAAGCTCTGAGAGATCAGGAAGTAAAAGCGCAGAGAAAAAAAAAAGTAAAATTCTGATTCTATGAAGAATCAGAATTTCTATTCCTGGGAATTCTGAATCGATCAAAATGCTCAAAAAAATTATTTTAGTCTGCTTTTTTTTTTTTTGTAAAATGACATTTTGGATAGTTATTTATTTAAGATAAAGCCAGGTGGTTTAAATCTAAATGAATGCTGGTAATTTAAGTTACACAATTTGATGCACTAAACTATTTTTGTTTAAATGCAAACTGATGGAATTTGATGTAAATAGCAAATTATTTTAAATATTTCTCTATTTGTCATTTCCTCTTGCCAGTCGCATCATTTAAGCAGAATCTCTAATATGAACAGGAAAAAAAAGGCTTCTGAATCAAATCATGAGCCTAAAAACGTCTAGATGCGATGCTGAAAGATTTGCAAATGTATTTATTCAGAATATCAATAGCTTTTCTTATTTATTTTTTTTTTAATATTCTGGCGGTGTCAGCTCGGTGTCTCCGGCTCGTTCTGTTGGAGTGATTTGGTCGACTATGACGGTGATGTGATTATGAGGGCCAGATGGGCTGGTCGGTGTCTGCAGATTTCCAGGGATTTTCACGTCAGCCGCCTCTGGAGCTCAATGAAAAAAAAAACAAACAAACAATAAACTCAGAGAGGAGCTGCAGTTCAGAGGACAGATGGGGGAACAGAGAGTCAACAAGATGAAGCCGTGAGGCGGTCAGAGTGCAGCCGCAGCAGAAAGGTGAGCCGCTCTGATTGGACTCTGGCTCCAAACTGCTGATGGTGGAATGAAGAATTATGCAGCATAAACCTGATCTTTATGGATGAATAGATATTAATAAGAAGCGCATCGATTGCAGTTTTCTAGCCGATCACCGATCTTTAAAAGCCTGAGCTGCTGATTCCAAATACTGATCCTGCCCCCCCCTCTCCGCCCCTTTGTTTGAAAAGTTGCTAAATATCAGAGATATGATTCTTTAATATTCATTCACATCAATGAGTGATGTGCACATTACAAATGTGTGCAGAATTTCACTGCCAAAGGAACCGATGCCTCAATGTTCCTGTGCTCGGCCAGCAGACTCCCCTGACCTTTGACCCCATTAATAATCTACCAGGGCTCCTATATATTTAAAAAAATATATATATTGTGCTGATGTTATTACTCTAATTTTCTGAGCTACACACTTGTAGCTTGGACTGTCAATAAATCAACTAATCACACGATAAATTAGAACAAAGCCAATCATTTCTATTTGTATGATTTATCGTTTTTCTCTTTCTGCCAAAAACTGGATGATAAAAGTCTTCAGTCTGCTGCTTTTGTTGTTTTGTTCATTAATTCAGGATGTTTAAAACGTCTCCCAGGTCCACTGTTAAATGTTCACGCTAAGAACGATGTAATGTGTTCTTACTTTATTGCGCCATTATCATTATATCGCATGAAAATGGTTTCAAAAATAACCAGAAGTTATCGTTTGTGGCGATAACTTCTAGGACAATTTATCGTTCAGTAAAATGTGTTATGGTGACAGGACGACCCAGGCTTTTGATTTCCATTCGACGCTCAAATGACATCACTCCCTCCAGTGTTTTAATGAGGGTTTTAACTTTCTCATGATCAGTATATTTAATAATATTAAGTCGTAACTTCAAGTTTTCTTTCTATCGTTTTTGGTTATTTTATACATTCTCAGGTTGATATTTAAACAGGAGCGTCAAAAGCAGAGGAGCTGGATCAGCAGAGCCTGCTAACAACTGATGATGTCATTCAGTTGTTATGGAATATCGACTATGGTGCCCCGACTTTGAGCTGTCAGCATGTCATGACAGCAATCAGACCATCGCCCAGCAACTGTCAGAGGATTCTTTATATTCGTTACTAGACTGATTGCTAGTGGAGCATCCTACTAGCAATGAATTACGACAAGCTTTAATTTCCCTTTGGGATAAATAAAGTGCTTTTGAACTGAACTGAATCAGAAAGTCTCACTTCTTTTCTGCCCTACTTTCAGCTCTAACGACGCCCGCTCTGGGGAGGAGACGCCTGAATAACAGCTGAATTTGGCAGTGCTTCCCTCTTTTAAGTCTTGCATAACAATAACGACGGCCCTCCTGTTGCGGGGCGCTCTTCGTCCCTTGGCAGGATGTTGCGGAGGGGGGCGGGGCTATTCGTTCACCCCTGAAGGTGCTCTGCCACCGTCCGACACAACCGCCTCCAACTGTCCAAGCAGATTCAGTCCCTTTGGAAAGAATGTCCAGATCCCTCCATCCCCATCCAACAGTACCCTCTGTTTAAAGCTACAGGAAGAGTTAGGAGGCAGAATAAGTCCCTCATTGTCAGACTGACCAGAGACGAGGTCCCCGTTGCTGTGGGATTTGCTCTGGCCCTCCTCATCGCTGGGAACAGAAGAAACCTGCTTGGCAGAGGTGCAGCCCATCTCCTCCTGAACGGCTCTCCTCCTCAGCCCAAAGCTTTACAGGCACACCTGTAGATGATAACAGGAAGGCGAACTCTCATCAGTGACAGCAGGAGGGTTAATGGCAGGTACACGTTAAACAGGACGGGACCCAGGGAATGCACCAGCTGAGGTTTTCTGGCCGATCACCAAGAAGTACAATTCTGCCAAAAAAAAAAACAAAAAAAAAAAACTCAGAAACTTTCTAGAAAAGAAAAGGTAAAATTTCAGACTTTGAAAAAACAACAATTTAAGAAAAACTGACAAATTTTGAGATAAATCTCAGAAATTTTGGAGGAAAAAAACTTGAAAGTGTCCGAGTTTGAAAAGTCAAAAATGTGCTAGAAAAAGGCTTAGAAATTTTGAGATCAATCTCAGAAATATCCTGGAAAAACTTGGAAATTTCTGAGTTTGAAAAATTAAAAATTTACAACAAAAAATATTCGATTTTATGATTACCTTCAGAATTTTTTATTTATTTATTTATTTTTGAAAAAACAAGAACATTTTTGAGTTTCAAAAGTGAATAATTTCCACAATTTTTCTAGAAACTTTTTGAGTTTTTTCCCTGGCAATGTTTTGACTTTTCAAAATCAGAAATTTCCTTTTTTTTTCCTAAAAAATTTCAGAGATTTTTTTTCTATCTACAATGGCCCTAATAGTTTGAAGGGTAAAACAGGGAACAATGTTAGGCAGGAATCCAGACTGTCATGACCCATCAGTGAATGTGTGGCTCAGCAGCTTCAAAACAACAATCAATAATCAGATGATGGATAGTTTAATAATTAAAGGTGTTGCTCTTAAATTTGTCTGCCATCACCAATAAAACACCAAAGAATATTAAGAACTAACTGCGTGAAACTAATCTCAGTTTTTATAATCAATTAGTCATGAAGTGAACCACCCTTGAAATAATAATCAAAAATACAATCTTCCCACTCTACTCCTGAATGGACAATAAAACTAGCTGTGATTCACCATCACACACGGGACTGGGAATGCACCAGCGACAAGCCCGCTGCTGCGCAACAATCAGGCCTTTCAGAGTGGGTGAGGGTCAGGGGGGGATCTCACCGAGTCATTTCTATTAGTGAATGGTGTTTATTTTCTTCTTCTTTTTTTCCCTATGAAGAACAGGGGATTACACTGGACGCGCGCTCCCATCTCCCACGTCCTAATGCTGCAGAGCAGACCTCAACATGGAGGGTGGGATCCATCGGATCCATTGATCCAGAGTGATCCATCCTGATGCGGGCTGGTTGTTCCTGAGCGGCCGGTGAAGGAGAATCCAGTTGCGGACTCAGCTGCTTCCGGGGCCCCGTTTCGATTACAACCACTAGCATAAATGCTTCATTTATAACTGTAAATATATTTTTTAAAAATAAATAATAATAAAGAAAAGACAAAAAGAGCCTAGCTAACTTTAAGTAAAACATTCCAACCAACTGAGGGGCTGATTTCACAGCATTTCTAAAGAGGAAGGGAGAGTCGTGGACCGCAGTGTTTGAGGAGGGGTGTATACAGGATGCTAGATTGATTTAATAAATAACGTAAGTTGGGGAAAGAGGCGCCATTCCGGCGGCTGCGTATAAATGCCGAGACGTTATTCTGAAGAGCGGAACGGAGAGCGGGGCGAAATGGAAAAGGCAGCTTTACCTTTCTGGTGAATCCATGGCTCAGCGGCTCCTTCCTGTGCTGTCAGTCCGCTCGGAGCTGCCGCTCAGACAGCATCTGCAGCTCCGCTCGACTCGGCTCACTCAGCGCCGTCTGCTCCCCCGCCGCCACGCGCTCTGTCACAGTGACGAAATAGCGCGAGGGAATATGTCAAACACAAGCCAAAATTATTATTACAGCTGTATATTCCCTAAAAATATAGTTTTCGAGAAACACAAACCACCGTAGCATACCTCTGTATTGCGTCGTCACCGTGTGTTGTCAGTCGGACCTAATTCGAAGGTGCACCGAACCATTTCCGCCCTGCGCGTTACAAATGCAACATCGCAGTAAACTGCCGAGAGAAGTTTGTTCAGTGTCTTGGCTGATCGAGCAGCCGCTGAGCGTCCACATCTGTCGGCATGATCTTCCTCACGGTAATCGCTCGGCTGGCGGACGGTCTGCCGCTGGCTGCGTCCATCCAGGAAGATGAACAGGTTTGAATGAGGGCTGAATTGGGCTCCGACAGCTGCACACAGAGCTCCTTTCAAAACTTGGTTAAATGAATGCATGAAGGGAAGAAAAGAAAATAGAAATAACTCATGGCTGTAGTGTATTCTTTGTTTTGCTGAAAGATTTAACATCTAAACTTAGTATAGAACATAGCACTGCCACCTCATGGTTTCAGCTTGTTAAGCTTATATGTGTTATGGAAGTGAGGACAGGGTTAGCTGTGTTATTTGATATTTTACTATTTTTGATAACGGCAAAATATTTCATGTTTGTTTTTAGCTATGCTCCTGCCCTTATGGTACAGTATATTTTAAAAAAAAATTTATCTTTGTGTGAACCTACATGAGTCTGCATCTTGTCACTTAGCTGCTGTTGAACCTGAATTTCCCCATTGACAGTAAAGGATACTATTCAATCTGTAAACAATGAGAAACAGAGTCAGATGACTCAGAGTTCAAGTTTAATGTGACAGAACTCATAGAGAACTTGGTCACATCCAGATGTGACCAATGCTGCAGGTTTTAAACAACCTGCGCCATTAGAGGCTGTTTTCACTGACTGGTTCTACAGCTAACAAACATGGATGTGCTTTGACTGTTTTCTGCCAGTTAGGAAGAGACCTCCAGCATTACCAGAGTCAGGCCAAGCAGCTACTCCGAAAACTCGACGCTCAGAGCCCAGACCGCTGCATGCTGGAGGCTGGGAACGTGAACTTCTGGTCAGTTGAGATTTGTAGATTCAACCTGGAATCGAAGGCCTTTTGATTATTTATGGGTTTGACCCCCCCCCTCCCCCCTCCCAGTTACTTCATATCCCAGGGTGTTTGCTGCCTGTGTCTCTGTGATGCCTCTTTCCCTAAAAAGATGGCTTTTGGGTACCTAGAGGACCTCCACAATGAATTCTGTGAGCAGTACGGAAAGAGAGTCCCCACGGTGACAAGGCCATACTCCTTCATAGAGTTTGGTAAGGTTCTCTTTGGGTTTTCCTATTAGACTGGTTCCAGGGCTGGTGCTTCAGCAAGTTCTTAACTGGTTCTATAAAAAAAAAAACAGTTTGGTTTGTTCACTAACGAGGAGCTTTGTCATCTCAGCCAGTAGATGTTTGATTTAATTTTGTATCTGTGGACTTTTAACAAATTTAGCTAAAATGAGTTTTAGTTGTTGTGACTCACAACATTGGTTGCTGGTTTCCATGAGCTCCAACTCTGGACTAAAGCTGTTCTTTCTTCAGAGCAAATATAGTAGCAATTTATCTGTGCCAGATTGAGTATTATGAAAATTTGGACTGATTATCAATTTGCTGATATCATATATAATATAGATTTTGCTACCATTTTGACACAGTGAAAAAATCGACCACACTGCTGACATTGCTTCTCTGTTTCGGTTAAATCCCACACAATCTTATACTGCATCGCTATCACTTTAATTAAAATGTTTTAATGTGGAAAAAATACAATGTCGAATTGCAGTGTTTCCATCAAATCAAGAACTCATTTCAAATCACAGGTGAATAAGTTTGTTCACACGGTGAGTCATTAAAAATATCACGCCACGCCATCATCCCCCAACTACTTCCCGTCATCTTCTTCATGGTTTTCATCGGTGGTAACATCTGGTTGTTTATCGTGTGACTTGTGTGATACAAAAAAAAAAAATTCCATTGCAGTTTTGCAAGATAATCCAATTTTGATTTGACTAAAACACCCACCTCATCCTAGTGGCAAAACTTTAAAAAAAGAGTTCAAAATTGGAGTGTTTCTATTGCGCAAATTTATTGTCAAAATATGAAAATGTGCAGTTATTTGGTCAACGGAAACGCAGTTAATGTCACATGACCAAACAAAAACCAACCCCCTCCTGAAATACAAATGGAAACAAGATGGAAATAAACATTGGTTATTAATATCGGCCCAGTTTTATCGGATTGTCACCGATGTTAATGCCGATACATTGTGTGTCCCCAGTATTAAGGATGCTAGAAACACAAAGAACGTTTCCTAAATTTAGCAAGTGATAAAGTCTACATTAGTCTTTATGTGCAAAAAAATTGTAACTAAATTTAAAAAATGTAATGCAAACAAACAATAGATTAGCATTTATGCTAAACATCTGAAGGAGCGGAATATTCACAATATCTGATTAAAATCTAATCTTTATCGTCGGAGTGTTTTCTGAAATTGAATAATTAAAAGAAGGGAACGTCTTTTAGATCCACTTTAGGACACACATGTAAAGAGCAGAGAGGAAAAGTAATTTTTTCATATTCTAGATACGTATATCCAGAAAACAAAGAAGTCATACATTGACAGCAGGGCTCGGAGGAACCTGAGCAGCGTCAGCACGGAGCTGCAGGACGTCCAGAGAATCATGGTGGCAAATATCGAGGAAGTCCTGCAGAGAGGAGAAGCTCTTTCCGGTAATCAGTTTGGAGTAAAACCCCAACCGGTTGGCCAGCTGTCTGACTCCAGCTAACCCTGAATCTGCTTTCTTCATCAGCTTTGGACACCAAGGCCAGCAACCTGCGCAGCCAGGCCGAGAAGTACCGCAGCGACGCCAGATTCCTCAACACTCGCTCCACCTACGCTAAAGTCGCTGCCGTGGTTTTGGTCTTCGTCACGGTGATCATCTATGTGCGCTTTTGGTGGCTTTGATGATTAAACAAAGACTCTGAAAAGGGGGGAAAGTTTCCCCTCTCTCTGTGGTGAAGGAAGACCTTTCTTCTCTGCTGTAGCTTTAGGTTTTGTATTCTGTGAAACCAGAGCTGTCAGTGTTTAGTTGGACTTTTCTTTTGTACGGAGACAAATGTTCTACAGTGGGCCGTTGTGGTTGTTTACACAGGCAGATGTTTGCACAATGGAGGTGGAGCTTCTCTGAGTTACACGACAGAAGAAGAAGAAGCAGATTCCAGATAATATGTTGACACTGTGAGGAAAACACTCTGGTTTATTTATATTGTTTTAAAAAATTAAAAGATTTAGCAAACTATCATGTATGGTGACATCATGAGCAGTCTCTCTGGGTTTAACTGTTTATCGTAAAAAGCAGGTATATTCTAAAGCAGTAAAAAAACAAAAAAAAAACAATGCAAATCATAAAACTACAAAATACAAAACCAGGTTCATGACTCGTGATGTTTGGGCTGTAATTCCATTTCAGTCATAAACATCAAAATTAATCCAAATAAATACTTGAAATATTTCACAGTGAAGTGAATCCATAACATATTTAGGTTTCACTTTTAACCTGAATTATTAGAATAAACTTTAAAAGTACTTTAATGAAGGTAGTTTATGTGGCCTAACAGTGTTCAGGAATTGTAGTTTTTCTTACAAGTTGTTTTTTTCCAGTCCAATAAATCAAGATAAAAATTAGATGTAATTAAATAATTTGAAAACTACATTAAATCAACCTGTACAGTAACTTTTATTTGGAAACCAGTCACTGTTACTGACTTCAATACATAAACATCTTTTTATTACTGTGCTTTATTCTGAAAATCAGACCCTGTTCAGTTCCTGGTTGGTCATGTTCACAACTGTCAGAAAGTGTATTACTATTCAATCAGCATCTTTCAGAAAATACATTTATTTACTGATCCCAAAAAATGCTTTGTGTATTTTTGAATTGTTATGAACAAGTAATAAAAACACAACCAAAATAAAGGACCTGGATTTTTACCATGAGATGAGAAACAGGTTAGGGTTAATAGTGTGATTTGAAGCAAATAAATTAGCTAAAAGGATCAGATTTTTTGCACACAAAAAAAAAAAAGTTCTGGAACTAAATTATTTTCCTGAGGTATTTTAAACAGGGCTTCACCGATACAGGATTTCAAAGCTGTTCAATGAGCTTTAACCCCTTAACTATCACAAGGAAAGATGCTTACAGATGAGTCAATGGGTCCATGAGGACAACCCGACCTGCTGATTCAGATTTTGACTGATATAATTTTTTTTTTAATTATTCAGGTACTCTGTAAGTATCAGCTGATCGCCCAAATGAAAGGAAATCGGCCCATTTACTGGTGCAGTCCTAATGTTAAAGCCGGGAGTTTGACATTTAAAGACCGCTTCATGCTGAATGTGGCAGCATTCATTCTTCATATCCAGAAGGAATCTACAGAAAACGAGGCCAACGTTTTCCCAGAAGTCCGTAACTCTATCCTGTTGGAGTTTAAAGCATTCCTCCTCCTCCGTTGTCTTTGCAGCACAGTTCATTCCCACTCATGCTATCAGATCAAAGTCGTCCCTCTGTAACAGAAACATTAATGCAAGTCATAATCCCACATTAAGACAAGTCATAATCCCACATTAAGACAACATGACAGAGATCTTCATAACTCGATAACAGAGGCCCTCAAAGCTGCGTTTCCATAACAAATGTGTGCAAATGTTTGTTGCACACATTTATCAAGAAAACATAATTTTCAAGAAAACATAATATCAAGAAAACATAATTTCACAATTTTAATGTTTCCATAGAACCAGAAATTCAATTAAAATCACATGAATAAGTTTGTTCATTTGATAAGTCATTAAGAAATCAGGCCTCGCCATCATCCTACAACTACTTCCGGTCATCATCTTTGTCATTTCCACCAGTAGCAACATCTAGTTGTTGATCATGTGACTCGTGAAATGTAAAAACAAAAAAAGTGTCTCCATCACAGTTTTGGAAAAATACATCTATTTCAATATGGCCAAAAAACCACCTCATCTTAACGTAGAAATATTTTTATAGCAAAATATGTTTTTTCGGAATTACCATGTTTTCATTAAGCGAATGTTATGGCCAGTTATGGTTAGTGGAAACGCAGCTATAGTGAAGCTCCTCCATTTATTCATGGATGAATGAAAGTCTCACCTCGTCATTATAATTCAGGACGTGCTGCTTGATCTTCGACGAGTCCACCCAGGTGACAAAATCTTCCATATTTCTAAAACAAAGACATAATTTCAGACAGTGCTGCTGATTTTTATACACAAAAATATCTTGTGGAGGATGTCAGATGTTATAAACCAAGCTGGAGACCGACCTTGTGACGAGAAACGCTGGATCTGTGACGATGTCCGGGCCGACACGAACATCTGTCAGCGTGTTTAGGAAAACTACCAATCGACCTCTATTGTTGGATGGAAACAAACCTACATTCTCTCTGGGATAACAAACACCAGATGGACACATGGGCTGAAGGATACGTCCTTGTTGGATGAAGGTAATGGCCGTCTTCAGGTTCTGAGCCATGCGGAGGTTCAGCATGATGCTGGGCAGCCGCCTCCTGCAGGTGAATGAACAGGCAGGATAAAACAGAGCTGCAACGATGCGTCAGTTTGTGTTTGTGAAGATTTTACCTGCAGAAGGACGAGGCTGTGACCTTCTCTGTCAGCGACAGGTTCTGTCTGGTGGGGATCAGGCCGATGCTGTACCTGATCAACCAGAGGAGCAGACAGTGTCGCATCAGGTTAACACGAGTCACAATCCACTGAGGTTTCATGTGGAAAGGTCAGAGGGCAACAACAGATGTGATCAAAGTAGGGCCGCACCAATCAATCAGCCACGATTTCCTTAATTTTGGGCGATTGGCTGACACGTGAAACCAGTCTTCTTCCACAATGGTCTAAAAAACAGACATTGTTTCCTTCTACTTAACATTAGCTGCATTTCCACCGACCATATAAGTGCGCAATTTGACATTTAAAGAATAATTGCTTAATGGAAATTTTGGGGAAAAAAACAAGACATTTTTTGATTAAAATGTTATGCTAGGATGAGGTGTTTTTTTTTTTTAATTATCCATATAGAAAGTGGTTTATTTTTGCAAAAACTGCAATAGAAACACTTTCACATCACACGAGTTACATGATCAATGACCAGATGTTACTACTAGCAGAAATGACAAAGAAGACGACAGGAAGTGGTAGGAGGATGATTGTTTTTGATAACTTATTGAACAAGCTTATTAAAGTGTGATTTTAATTGCAATTTTCATTTCATGGAAACACGGTATTTGATAAATTGTGGGGGGTTTAAAATTAGCGACAAAATTTTGCGCACATTTGTAATGGAAACGCAGCTAATATTCGCTCCACTGCTGTCAACTTAGCAACTTTAATGTTATATTTAGCAACTTTTAGATAAAAAATAAAAAGTAGGTATGAGACAAAATGCCTAATCAGCAGATTAGGCTTTGCAAAGATTGGGAATCGAGTAGAAAACTGCAATGGCTGCACCTGTAGATCAAAGTAATGTTTATAGTCATCGTACCATGTGTAGTAAAATAACGATGGACTTCCCTTGACGTCGAAAAGAAATACTTATTTTACAGCAAAAGCACTAAGACATTATTTTCCCTGTAATGAGGAACTATTAAATCTGAAACCAGATATTTACATGCACTGCATAAAAATAAAACACGTTTTTCTCACCATAATTGACTCAGACTAAAGTTTTTTCTGTTTTTCACAATTTCTAAACACCTGAAACCTAAAACCCAGACATAAACTCAGTGAATGTCCAGCTTGTCAGGAAGTAAACGGGTTCTGTGTCCCAGACACAATTCTGTTGAGAAATGTGTTAAACCCAAAAATAAAAGTAAAAGACTTTGTGAAAATTCTGTAAGAAAGTTTCATCGTCAACAACGAACAAAGACCTGAGCTGTAATGGCGTTCAGGAACAAAGAAGCCAATACTGATTAAGGTTATCCAAAGCACTCAGGAACTTTTAAGCTGAAATTAAAGTGATCATAATATGGGTCAAAAAGGGTTTTCCAAATGACAAATTATATTTACCAACCAGAGGTAATTTTAGTCATTCTAACAGCCGTGAAACAGGAAAGATTTAGCCTTACTTCTTGTCAGGATGGTGAAGAAAAAAGATCTCTCTCTTTATAATGTATATGTAAACATCTGATTTCAACTGTACATTTATAAATATATCTACACTAATGTGAATATAAATGAAAAAATGTTTAGTTATTTGTGTTTTTGTTACATTTACTGATAAATGTCCTTTCTTTTGGATTCGTTTGTGACTCTTCAGTCTTTTACTGGTTCTGTTTGGGTTGTTTCGGTTCTGACCCAAACCGACCCAATGGCCTCTGGTGACTCACAGCTTTTCCAGGAAGCGGTGTGTGCTCTGAGCTCTGAAGCCGTCCTTCTCATCCAGGTCTCTGATCTTCTGCGCCAGCTCTCTGATGTTCCGACTGAGCTTGTTGTACCTGAAAGATAAAAAAGACAACCTACAATAAAACCAACCATTTCCTTCCTATACGCTGTTCTAACACACCTAATTCAGGTGGAATACACACTACACCTTACCAACACTTTAAAGTCCTATATCATGATGAGGTAAAGACTTGGTGAGTCTGATTTGATTCTGCTTTTTGGGAATCTGAACAACGTCCATCAGCTCTAGTTGAACATATAAAATACTCTCACTTGGTAAACATGTATTATAATTAAGACGGCTAAGAAAAAAAAAACATTGAGTTTCAAAAACTCAAATGTTTCACATTAAGACACTTGACCCTGAGAAGAACCCTGAAACCGCCATGCTGATGCTTTAAAGATCACAAACTGTGTTTGTGTGTCTGTAGAACATTTATGCACTTAGCTTGGACATTCTGACCACTTCTCACTCTGTTACTTTCTCCTACTACTCTCCAGTTATGTGTCATCATCAATTATGGATGCTATTACCTTTATGTTTTCTCTGCTTTGTGACATTTCCCAGGAGGATGACATATCTGGAACAATTTCTGTCAACATGTTCTCTCTCTCAGCAGATGATACACTCGCCCTTGTCTTTTGGTGTTTAAATTGAAGAAGATACTTCTGCCCCTAACTAGGTGTAGTACTTATTTGTAGTTTGTCTATTTAGTTGAGCTTTAATCCTAGATGATAACAATTACTGCTCCAATTAATTATGTCAACATTAGTTACCCTGAAAGTACTCCTGTGAATTTTGTGCCTCTGTTCTGTGTTTTTAACCAGCAAGTTGGTTTCTTCTTGTTAAAAGGGAAACATTTCTTTCTACTGTTGCCGCATGCCTTCTCAGTATAAAGAAAATTCTAGACGATTAATTT